ATTGCTCGGACTGGGATTCGAACCCAGAACTTTCCGAAGACATGTCGGCTACTCTACTATTTGAGCTATCCGGTCTATACTAAATTTCCTTTCATTTATCTACATACATTAAGCCACACCGTCCATCTTACGGTTAGCATTTTTAACAAATATAAATAATGCTGTGAAGCGGGAAAGAATAGGAGTTACGGATAATTATTACGTGAAGCGTTCCAACATTCAGGTAACAGGATAATTGGTAGGAAAGGATTGAGAAAGGATTGTGGAGAGGATCATCTTAATGTGAGTTTATAGAATATGCGAGAAAAAATTATTAGATAGCTCGGACTGGGATTCGAACCCAGAACGCTAGCATTCGGTAAATACTTGAGCTTTTCAAGCTCAAAGCACCCTTCTCATATTTTGAGCTTTTCGAGCTCAAAATGTATTTATTAAACTACTTTCATTGTTGAATGCTTGTTTTTTTTAATTTTTTTTTTTTTTTAATTTGTTCTGAATGGCTCGATGGATTCTCTTAAATCTAATCAGATGTACGTTATCTTAATTAAAATTACTATTTTAGTAAGTACACTGCTTAAAAAAGTTAATTAACACACAATATGATTATCATAACGGGAAAAATGATTTATTTTAAATCAATATACAAATAATAACTCTTTTTTAGTTAGACAATTGGAAAAAAAAAATAAAATACAAAAGTGATTGAGTCACCTGCTCATTCTTTATCGATTATTTTTTTTTCGCAACGCTTGCATTGCACTTCATTATGATTCTTAATTCGAAATTATTGTCCGTTAATTTATTATATTTCGGCAGATCATACATCGTAGCATAACTGAAAAGCCTCTCAACAGCTGCGGAAGATGGTAAAATTGTATTGGTCTTCAAAAAAATTTTTCTCACAGTCGGATAGGAGTTCAAAAGTAGAAAATCTGTCCTTGGGTCTGTCGTAAATTTAATAAAATTAACTTCTTCAATAGTCGACCCGAATGGCCCAGAAGAACTGGTTGTTGCAGAAGAATTTGATGAAGGAGAAGAACTTGGTGTAGTAATGAAAGGTTGATCATCAAAATTAAAAAAGTCGTCCATTGCTACTGTCTGCAATTCAGGCTCATTAACAGGATTGTCAGGGAGGCTCACGATTGCATCCTGTATCGCTTTCATAACGTTTTCTTGAGCTTCTTTACTTAGAGAAGATAACCATCTGAACTTGAACATGGGATGAGAAGCTGCAGCTACAGCAGCTGTTTTACCTTCATCTACTACATTAAAAACATTTTTGAAACGCTTCTCTATAGCCGCAATTAAACCAGAAATCAATTTTTGGCAATATTGAAATCTCAAATCTTTGCAAGCCAACAATTTTTTTCGAGTTATTATTAGTGTAGGCAGCAAATATCCGTACGATGCAGTTTGATCAACTTGTATGACATCAATAGCTTGAGCGATAGGTTGGTGACAACGACAGTACTCTTCTATGAATCTGTGAAAAAAAAGTAGACGTGAATCAAGAAAATAAAATATGGTTTCGATATTAGTAATAAGATTAGAAAAATCAGAAATTAATGAGAATTTTTAGTAAGATACAACTCACAAAAAAATAATCGGAAAGAAGACCAAAGACGACCAGAATCTTTGTATTTAAGTCCTTAGAACTGAAATTTAACATTTTTTGTTACTAGTGCTTTTTGAAAAGTTGTGAATAATTTGAATGAAAAAAAAAATTCAGCCTCTTGCTCCGAAAAATTTAGTTCTTGATAGAAGTAAATTTTCTTGACTTGAGAAAATTTCTCTCTTGCTCCAAAAAATTAAATATCTTGATAGTAAATTTTCATTAATATTTTTATTGGTTAACATGTCAAATGGGAAGATCAAATAATATTGAATCATTTTTTTTTATTCAATATGTATAATTTCACACTAAAATAATATAATATGGGTATCAAATATTCGAGAGGAAAATTTTCACAAGGTGAGAAAATTTTTTTCTCAGCTGAAGTAAGTGGCGCTGCTTCCTACAGTATCCAAAAATCTTGATCAAATATAAAAATTTATTGTATCAAGTATTTATGATAATTTGAATTAAGAAAAAATTACTTACACCAAGAATAGAATTGCAAGAAAAATTTTTACTTTGGCCAACATAACTTCGGTCTTTCTTCAGGCATCGGAAAATTTTCTTGAGTCAAGAATTTTGTGCTCCAGTCAATAAATTTTTCTTTCTGTTCACTTTTTCAAATTTAAAGTTTTAAAATATCAGTGAAAAAAACTCTTTTCATAATTTTGGACTACAGATTATTAAACTCACAGCAAATTAAATTTTTTGATACTTCCCTGATTAAAAAAAGTATTGAGTCAAAGAAAAAAGTATTGAAAAGTATTAGTTTTCTAGTCAATCCAATGCTTTTTAATACTTTTTTGTTCGTCTCAATACTTTTTTTTATTCAGGGTTTGTTCCCCAAAAAAGATGAGATCCCACTTTTCAAAAAAAACCAAAGGAACTTTTCTTACCTAAAGTCTGCCTCTTCCAGTGGCTTGTTCATACCCAGCGTTGAAACATTGCTTAAAATTTTTTCCTTTAAACCAAATATTTGAATGAGTGCATCATAGAGAGAGTTCCATCTAGTAGGGAGAGGCTTTTTAAGACTTTTCCCAAGAATGACCTTGACATTTTCATTCGATTTCGGAGCAGATAACATTTTCCATAATGAAGTGCAACGGTCGATCATTCTCATATAACCTGCTTCTAGAGATTTGGAGGATTTAATACATGCCATTGCATCAGTGGTCGCAACGAGATTCAATGTGTGACTCGCACAGCGAACATGCGCAGGGAGTGTTTTTCTTAGTTCTTCCTCCATTTCCGTTGTTAATGAGTCCTTCTCAGCGCATTCGTTTTCTTCTGAATCACACTCTTCTTCTGATTCCGATATTTCTTCCGATGAAAAATTTTCTTCTGAGTCAGAGGAATTTAAATCGTCAGCTTCATTGCTACTTACATCGTCTACAAGTAAGAAATCCATTTTTTGGAAATCAAAAAAGGAGAAAAATTGTTAAAATAGTACACTTTAAAAAATTAATGTAAGGTAAGAGCCCGAGTAGCAGCTCACTTCATGTATTTGTATATAGTTATATAATACATGGAGTGAATATAGTTATATATTATGTTATATATATATCATTTGTAAATATAGTTATATAAATACATGGAGTGAGCAGGTACTGGTTCCTGAGCAGCTTCCGGGGCTCTTACTTTATCAAAACAACATATTCCTGATTTTTGAAAATCTTCCATTTTCTTAGCGGGAAGTTAAATAATTCTAAAATTTTCAGTGACTTCTGACCGAATATATTTAAGGGAAAAATGCGCGTTTTAGCATAGGAATGAAAAAATTTAAAGTTCTCATTTTCGGATAAAAAAAAATATGGAGGCAATATTCAGATCTCAGCCAATGCATAAATAAACAAATGCTCAGGTTATTTAAGATCTTCAATTGATTTGATGTCTAAATTTATCAAATTCAGCAACCATTTGTACATCATCATTATCATGTAATGATGTTGTACTAGTATGAGCTGAAGACATTTTTTCTTAAAAATTTTATATAAAATAACGTAATTAATTTATTTAATTTGATGAAACAAAAAAAATAATATCCTCCTAAAAATTTTTGAATATTTTAAAAGAAGTTGAATGTTTTACGCAGACATAAATTCTCATAAAATTTTGAAAATTATTCAATAAATATTTCAAAATTATTAACCTTATAAAAAAATTTTTGAAATATAATTAGTTTTAAATGTCTTTTTTAATTAGAATTTCATCCGGTTCATTTCCAATTTGACAGAACGTGGACAGTGTGCTCATTTCTTCATCGAGGTGTTGTCCGAGTGATTGCCGAAATTAACAAAGTGCAAGCGTTGTACTTTTCATCGAAGGGGAGGGACCCTGTTTGTTATATGAGGCAACATATATATATATATATATATATATATATATATATATATATATATATATATATATA